GTTCAAGGATCATATATTTTCAAAGTTTTATTCTGATCCAGCTTCAATAACATAAAGGTTGAAATGTTAGGCATATGGTCAAAGTTTGCATGTGTTTTCTTATAGCGCATACGCAATTAATGGATACACATTTTATACCAAAGAACAAGATGATAAAAGTACAATGCAAAATAGTGGTGTCGTTATGCTTGTTGAAGCAATGCACATTTCAAGTGTGAAGGACTTAAACCCCAAATATGCAAATTTGTCGTATTTTTGGATTATCGAGGGCATTTGGGTGTTTGATTATGAGAAGTTTCAGATTCCTATCTTTGGATGTAAGTGGGTTGAAAATAATAGTGGCATACGAATGGATAAGTCTGGATTTTTGCAAGTGGATCTTAATAAGGTGGGGTATAAAGATGAGCCTTTTATTCTAGCCATGCAAGCTAAACAAGTGTTTTATGTCACTGATCCGACAAGTACGAAATGGTCTATAGTTCTTTTTTCCAACAAAGTAATTGATGATAACATTGGAGATCAGGGTGATGTTAATGTTGAGAAGGAATCTTATATTATAGATGATCAAGATGAGAATGTTAGAGCGGACGAATCATATATTAGAAATGATCATAACGAGGGAATTTGGATCAATCCATCAGTCCGTGTTGTTAAGAGACAAGTAAACTACGTTCCAACAAAGAAAAGAAAGAGATGTTAGTGACAAAGGTACTTGTAAAATTACATATTATATCATTCAATAAAATTACATATTATATCATTCAATAAAATTACATATTATGTCATTCAATAAAATTACAGGTATTTCTTATTTATATATTTCTTATTTATATGTTTTTCTTTTCATATATATTTGTCATTCATTTCATAATTTGGTTTTTCTGAATTACATGTATTATGGCTACCAACAAGGAAAAATCACATGATACTTCTAAACATGATGGAAATGAACCAGCACAAGACGTGGAAGGAGATATTACAAGAGGAATAACGGTTATAAAAAAACCATCCGTGTGAGAGATAAAGGTATAAAGTATGATGTGCATTGGAATGAAACAGATCAATTAATTGAGCCTAACGGTGTGATGCTGACAAGTTACATAGGAGCACTTGTTCGTTCGCAAATTCCAATCACTTGCGATAATTGGAGAATTTCTTTGTTAAAACCAGCTAAAGACAAAATTTGGAGCGAGATACAGGTATGTTTATTTGTTTGATTAGATCTTCTAATATTGATGACGACCGGAAAAAAATATTGTCTTCAATTGGCCGGAAAACGACTAAGAGGATTTAGAGTGTTTTTAACGAACAAGTTTCTTAAAGATTCTGATGGAAAATTTGTCGAATCAGAGCGTCCAAAGAAGTATGCTGATCTGATTTCAGTTGAAGAATGGGAAACATTTGTTGCCAAGCGAAGAACCCAAGAATTCCATGTAATTCTAACTTATCATGAACAATGTATAATATATATACTTCTTCCACATGAGTTCTGATATGACTTAAACTTGTTTTTTTAGGTTGTGAGTGACGTAAATCGGCAACAAGCATCAAAACCTGCGTATCCATATAAATCCTTTAATATGATATAGTTAGAATACGAGGAAAGTGAAGCTTATTATCTGTCTTAATGTGTAGTTAGAATAGGAGAAAAGTGATGCAACATCTCTTCCGGACCATGTTTTGTGGAAGGCTGCCCGTGTGGGTAGAGATAGAGTCGTTCAGGAAGAAGTTCAACAAGTATTTGAGCAATGTGTAAGTACAACATTAGTTATGTCATAAACTCAAAAGTGTATAATATATTTATGCTTTTATCTATATTTCAGGAGAGTTAATTCCAGACTATAACTGTAGTTGAGGATGATGATTGCAGGAGCGTACTGAGTCGAGTGTTAAATATTCCTGAGTATTCTGGGCGTTTGAGGGGTAAGGGATTTGGTGTCATTCCAACAAAATTGTATAAGCAGCCAAAGAATAAAAATCCTAGAAATAAACAAGTGATGGAGACGTTAGAAGAATTGAAAGCTCAAATTTGTGAATTGCAAAAGGACAAAGAGAGATACATGTCAGAAAGGCGCGGTCCAGAGTGTAAAGATACTAGTGACAAAGATAGTATCAATTGTAATTTTCCACAGAAGCTTCCCGAGGTAATTATATATTACATTGAAATTAATTCAGAACAATTTTCTTAATTGACACATTAATCATATTCATTATTTGTTTAGGGCATTTCACCTTGTCGGCTCTATTTATCGTCACCGACTTACCGCAGGGTTGGCAAGGGAAAAGTGCATACCACTTTGGGAGACTTACTTCACCATAAACCGCTTCCTGCTGGAAAAGTGCAAAATAGGTACTACTAGAATTACATGATGATCTTATACATTAACTACTTAACTTATATGACTTTTAGGTTCATGCTCAAAAGTTGCAACAAGTCAGTAAGGCTAAGATACCTAAATCTAGCAAGGTGCCCAACAAAAAAAAAGGCCGAGCCAAAAAAAGCATCTGTTCCTTGATTTAGGTTGTGCCTTGAAACATACGTAGGAGCAACAGATGTGGTTAAGGGTGGCATCCGTCAAATACCTATGGAGGAAGGTATTTTCGGTTTTGAATATGCCGAAACAATTGCTAAAGAGGATTTGGACCAGATTTTCCAACATTCTGAATTAGGCATTGGTGTTATGCATTCATACATCAAGTACTCCGATCAATTTTAATTAAATAATTGAACAATTTATTTGCTCATTTAAATGAATATTCTAATGTTGATTATGTTTTTATTTAAGGTTCTTGTATGACAAGTTGTTAGTCTCGCATCAATTGATTTCAAGATTCACATTCTTATCTGCTAGTTGTATCAACGCACGGTCAATCGATCATACTCCAGATGTAGTCAGAGATTACATAGTCCAAGCATTTATTGCCGCAGATACAGAGAAGTTGTATTTTTTACCATATAATACTGGTGATGGATTAGATTTCACTCTAAATTCATTTATTATAATTATTTGTTTTTTGTCATTCTATATAACATTTTCGTCTAAACTTTTGTCTTATTTTACAGTGGACACTGGTTGTTGGTTGAGATTAATTCGATAAAAGAAATAGTGTATTATCTGGATTCATTGGATGGTGATCAAACAAAATATCCTGATATGAAGAATATGGTTAATACGTAAGTGATGAGATATATTGTTCTGAATAATCATCTTTATTTATTTTGTGAGATTGTTCTAAATATTCATTTATATTATGTTAGAGCTATACAAACATTCTGATCACAAAGACAAGCAACAGTGCCAAAAAGGAAGGCTAACAACATTAGCTGGATCAGAGTGCAGGTATATTTTCACAATTTTGACTGTTATAGTGATTCTACTTGATAAAACTAGCTAAACTATATATCCTGATAAATATTCGTTTGTTTTTTCCATTTACAGTGTCCTCGTCAGCGCAATGGGATTGATTGCGGATATTTTGTATTGAGTTTTATGAAGGAAATTATTCATTCAGGTCAAATAGAGGTTCCAAACATGGTATGGATTTATAAGTTATATGATTTATTTTAATATTTAACTGATATTTCATCTGAGTAATTAGTTTTAAAACTAAATCATGCATGTTATGTTATATTATGTAGTACTTTGATGAATTCAAGTGTGGTACTTACTCGAAAGACAGATTGAAAGAAATTAAGGAGGAATGATATCAATACATTCTTGAGTTGAGAATTGTATAAGGTATATATATTTTCAATTGATGCAGGATAATTATATTTCTGGAAGTCGTATGTAATTTTGAAATTATATGTAGAGTGAATGTATTTGTAAAGTTATTGGTTTTGTAATTATATGTATAGTGAATGTATTTGTGAAGTTGTTGTGAGGATCGACTTGTGTTGAATTATAAGCAGGTTTATGTGTTGAATTACAATGATTATGGTATATATAAGGCCAAAGTGTTGAAATAAAGACATGTGGTGAATGTAATTGTTATAAGTAGGTTTATCAAAAAAAATATAAAAAATGGTGCAACTTAATTCAACAAAAATCATTTCTAAAAAATATGAAAAATAGACAACACTTTTACCAAAAAAACGCTATGAAAAAGTGATTTAAAAAAAAATTCAATGACGTGAAGAAAAGACAACGCTTTTCTTAGAAAGCACTGCTAAAAGGGGGGGTATAGAGAACGCTGCTATAGGGGGAAAGGGAAGCGAAAGAAAGCGCTGCTAAAGGGGGGGGGATAGGAAGCGCTTTTCTTATCATCGATTTTCTTAAGAAAAGCGCAGCTAAAGGGGGGGAATAGGCAGCGCTTTTTGCAAAAGCGCTACTAACAAGTATTCAACAAATACACTTTAGGCAGCGCTTTTGAAAAGCGCTGCTAAAGGTGAGGGAAAGAGAGATCGCTTTTCTGGAAAAACGCTGCTAAAAGTGGGCCTATAGCAGCGCTTTTTCCATAAAAAAAAAGCGCTGCCTTTACCTTTAGCAGTGCCTCTTTAGGCAGCCCTGCTAAAGGTCTTTTTTGGTATATTGTTTTTATGTGGGTTATGATTATACAACTAATATGATAGTTTCATTCATAAATACTATAACTTCAAAATATTCAAATAGTCAAATTATTTTACACAATTTATCGATTTTATTTTATTTTATATTTATACATTTTACAATTTAATACTTCAAACATTGTCTTACAATATAATATAATGTTTTTTAGGAAAAATAAAGAACTTGTTAATGAATGACATAGTTCCTTCTCAAATGTAATTGTTTGAAGAAAAGAAAACTATCAGTGAAATTTAGAAGATTTCTAGACTAATTTTCAATGTCGACAACAACCTTTTAATAAACAAACAATCACATATTCAATCTCCAACTTTTTTTTAAAAAATAAAATACTTTATTAATCAAAAATTGTCTTTAAATACAAGCGATCCCAGCGGATCCATCTACAAAGCAAGACATCCTAAGACAAAAAGGGAAGAACAAACTAATTATCTATCCCCCCTCTATCATTAAGATAGCTATATACTTTATGAGTTTCTTAGTATTCCATCCTCTATACACCAGAGTATCTATTACATTTCTTCCTATTGTAGTGATCTCATTCGTCTCTCCAAAATTTTTGTTATTTCTAGCCTTCCAAATCTCATAGATGGTCTCAGATATTTCCATTTTTATGACTGCAGCTCGGACTCCTTTACCTTTAGTTTGTTGAATAAGCCATTTCACCTTGCTATGCCAACTTCCAGGGGTATGGTTTATTTGTGCCCATCTTAGGATCTCTTTCCATACGTTCTTTAGACTTTCACACTCAAAAAATAAATGGTTTAATGTTTCTTCCTTCGCATAGAACCAACACTCATTATTATCAATCATACCGTACTTAAGCAATTTGTCTTTCGTTGCTAATCTTCCATGGCAAGCAAGCCACAAAATGAAATTGGCTCTCGGTCTCGCGTTATTCCCATAAACCAAATTCTTCCACTCTACCAACTGCCCGCAATCGTGTAGTTTCACATATAGTCTGCTCATTTTAATTTCCCCCCCCCCCCCCCCCCCCCATCTTGAGTTCTTCCAGATTTCCCAAGTTTTTAAACTCTTCCCTTAGATTGAGTATACCTTTAATTATCCAGGAATCACTCCTATTACACTGGATCTCAATCAGTTAGTTGGTTTTGATGTAATACGTTTGCATCCATTTAACCCAAAGCGAATCTTGTTTCCCACTCAAGTTCCATAGCAACTTCATAAAAGTTGTTTTATTCCAAACTTCAATGTCTATGACATTCAGCCCGCCATGACTCCGTGGACTACAAACCTGTTTCCACCCTACGGGTGCTTTACGACTCCCCTCAAAACCTCATGTATAGAGGAAAATGCGACAAATCGATTCAATTTTCTATATAACAGTTTTGGGGAAAGGGAAACAAGTTAGCCAGTAATTTTTCATCGCAAACATAACACAGTTTATAAGTTGAAGCCTCCCGGCGTAGGTAAATAACCAAGCAGTCCAATTTTTTATCTTGCCCATGATTTTGTCTATTAACGGTGTGTAATGGCGCACATAGAGTTTTTTACCAGTAACCGGAACCCCTAGATACTTAAAAGGAAGCCGACCTTCTTGGAACCCCGAGGCTTTAATAACATTCTGCCTTGTCAACTCATCCATGCCAGCATAATAAATTCGAAACTTCTGTGGATTCACTGCAAGACCTGTAGCCTTCGAAAATTTCCCATAAGTCTTCATCATCATTTCAACCGAGACCTTATCTCCCATGGAAAACATAAGCAAGTCGTCCGCAAAGCAAAGGTTTGATTTTCAATTTATCGCATTTAGGGTGATAATTGAAGTCATGATCTTCCTGCATCTTGTATAAGTATATGTTCAAGCATTCCATTACAATGACAAACAACATAGGTGATATCCGATCGCCTTGTCTAAGCCCCCGTTTCGCTGCCATGATGTCAGTTTGATGCCCGTTTACGTTAAAACTATAAGAAATAGTTGATACCATTGTCATCACCCATTTAGTGAACTGTTATGGGCATCCCACCTCATTCAAAATCTTTTCAAGCGCATTCCAATCAACCGCATCATATGCTTTTTCAATGTCCATTTGCATTAAACAGTGGGGAGAAATATTCTTCCTTTCGTATCCCTTAATCAATTCATATGTGATTAGAATATGGTTATGAATTCTCTGCCCTTTGACCAACGCTGCTTGATTCGCACCAATTATCGTACCTAGTACTTTGCTGAGTCGGTTGGCCAAAATCTTGGATATGATTTTGTACAAGGTACTACAGCACGCAATAGGTCGATAGTCTTGTATCTCTTTTGCACTCTTGTGCTTAGGAATTAGAGTGACAACAGAGCAGTTAGCAGCTCTGTACATACGATTATGCTTGAAAAAATCATGTACAACTGCTATAACATCCAGTTTAATAATATTCCAGACTTTCTTGTAAAATAGGCTCCAAAACCATCAATTCCAGGTGCCTTATCATTACCTATGCCTATTAGAGCTATGGTGATTTCGTCTTCGGTTACATGACTCATCAACATATCCCTCTGCGCAGCTTCCAATTGCCTGCCTTTCCTCATTGCTTCTGTATCAATGCTTTCAAGTTCGTTCAGTTTTGTACCCATCAGATACCTGTAGAATGATATTACTTCATTTTCCATTCCTTGCTGATCTGTAACAATGGTTCCATCTACTCTTTGAAGTTTTGTCATGTTTTTGAGTTGTTGTCGCATCTTTATAGAGGCGTGAAAATATTTGTTGTTGCCATCACTAAGTCGCAGCCAATCAATTTTTTCTCTTTGCCTCACCATACTATCATCCAATTCCTGCAAAATAATAATATTTTTAGAACATCTTTTAACCATATTAATCTTGTCTCCATCCAATCTATCTGTCATTAAATTATCCCGCGCCTTGTTCAGATCTTCTCGAGCTCGTGCAATTTCCTTGTGAAACTCAGCCAACGGTTTGCTCAATTTCCTGATGTGGGGTTGTAGTCTTTGCAATTTCTTCCATACAACAAACATTGGTCTTCCTTCTAACGGAATGTCCCAACTGTTCTTGACAACTTCCTGGAAATTATCCAAGTCTGCGCAACAGTTTATGAATCTAAATCCTTTGCTAGGCTGCTGTACTTAAATATTGTCGTGTAACACAAGCATGGCATGATCAAATATGTTGGGGTTCATATTCGTTAATCTTGTAGTTCCATATTGTTGCAGCCACTCAACATTTCAAAGGACATGATCAATTCTAGAGTAGATGGAAGAAAATTCACTTCTTGAATTAAATGGTTTCGATGACAACTAAATCGTTATCAATGGAAAATTAATTAAGTTTAACAAGAATGTTTTCTTTGTATATACTTGATATGCCTCCAATTGTAGTGAGATTGTTTATATAACTTTTCTGTTACCGTAACCATAAAGTTTAGGTAGGTCATATTTTAAAGACTCATTATAATTTAAAAATTTTCAAAGTGTATAGAGTTCATCAACTAGTTCTCCATATCAAATGCAGATCTCTAAAATTAATTTTTCTGTCTTCTCTAGAAAACAACTCCTCTTCCCTTTTCTCTTCAATTTTTAAATTTTTAGTCACTCATGTAATTTTTAGAGGTGGTGGTGCAAAGCCCCTTTAGCTGCTCCACCTTCAATCTATTTTGAGATTGTCAGATGCGCAACACTATTTTTCCTCTGGCATCATTGTTATATTTGGCTCGTTGTTCTGACACCACTGTGTTTGGGCATAACTCCAATTGAGAGGCGTTAACGCTCACGTCATTGGATTTTAGTCGCCTGAGTCACGATATTGGATTTCTAAGGGTTGGAAGGTTTGCTTGCGTGAAGATTTTGTTGTTGTTAAGTCGTAAGCTTTGTGGATCTGGTGTTCTGTGTTTTAAATCTGTTGATGTTGTTATTCTAGATTCGAATCTTTCATTGTTTCCAGATCTAATTTCGTGGCTTGGACTAGTGTGTTTTTCTTTTGATTTCTGATTCCTTTCAGATTTGTTGAGATTTGCAGTTATCAAAGTGTTTGGGTTGACGCTACCACAACAACGATTTCATTCTGTTTTACAACCTTGTCGTCGGCTTGCTGTTATTAGTTATGGCCCGTTGTGATCTAAGTTTGTTTAGTTTGAGAGAGCTATTAAGCATGCTATGATTTTTCGAAGGGAATTGTCAGTATGCAAATTGGTTTATATTGGCAATCGATTCATTCACCATTATTTAAAGATTGTGAAGACTCAAACAACACATTTTCTTTTGTTATACGGTTTTGTTCTTGTATGGATGTTTACTAGATAGTTTATGTTGTGTGTGTTTTTACTTCTTCTATTAGTCTATTGTTATAATAATAAAATAAATATTAATTACTTTTAATATAATTTGATTGAGTCAATTCTTTTTCTCTCTATATTTTATAGACTCTATTTTTATTTTTATTTAATATATTAATGATTTATTAATAAAATACGGATTTCAAATTAAGTTTTTGTGAAAGTGAGACCAAAATCTTACTAACTACATTGACCAACGCCTGTATAAATTGTTTATGTTATTCATATTATAAAATTATTTAAATCATTGATATGTTAGGTTATATAAATTTTATAAAAATGTATATTATGTCAAATCTAAATAAAGAAGACATCCATTAATACTTTTTGTTTTTATATAAATCAGAAGAGTGATTAATCTCTCGAGTCATTGAGGACTACCATAAATGATAAAATATCTTTTTAATGATTAAGGTAAAATGATATTGTATATAATACATTAATATTTGAAAAGATTAATTTAATAAAATTTTCATTTGTGAAATAACAAATATAAGACAGATGGCAGTGCACAAATTGCACAATACAACCTTTAAAAAATGCATAGTAGCAATATGCCAAAAAGCTCGAAATGTGCAATGAATCATGTGATGTTAATGCATCGATCTCAATAACTGAGTTAAGTAGTCAAGATCCTGTTAATAATGTTTAATTGTTTAATAGATTTTATACAGATGATGCAAATCTATAATATAAATAGAAAATGAGTAGTAAATAATTGTAAAATTAAAATATGTAACTTTTAAGGTTCTTTGAATAAATTAAACTTTTTTTCAGATGGAAAAGACAAGGTTTCAAGAGAGTTTTGACATGCATTATGTCATATTCAACAAGAGAAAACTTTATCTCATACCTGAAAAGTTCTAATTATATTATTTTATTTATTTATTATTCTTTCAAAATCGAAAAAGTTTGTACCCGTATCTACACCAATGTACTGTAAAACATCATTTAAAATTTTTGGTCATTTCTCTTTCTCGGATAATTTTGAATAAACTTTTTTCTATTATAATTTTTTTATTCATAGAATAATTTGTTATAAATTTTTCAATATTATAACTTTTAATAATTTTTTTCCAAATAACTTTTTAAGAATTTTCTGATAGTTGTTTTCTTTTTTGAAGATATATTAAACAGCGTTTTAACATCGTTGTAAAAAATAAACAGTTTAAATGTTAAACGACTAAAATGTTTCAAAAAAGCAAATCAGTTAGAAAAGACATTTATTTTTTTAAATTTTAGGCAACCTTTTTCTACTGTTGCCTAAACTCATTTATCTTGCAATTTTTGAATGACTTTAATTTCAAATATAATTTAGATTAGATAACTTCCGAAGAATAGGAAACGTTTTTATTTTTTTTACTTTAACTCACCGATTTTTCACTATTATCTATTGTTTTTTTTACAATTTTTCTTTTATATTTTTAGATATAATAAGTGTATTTTGGTCAAATTAAATAAGTTGTGAAAATGGAGGGATAATCGTTGGGACATGAGATAAAAAATTTCAACAAGAGACTCTCGTTCATGTCCCGTTTGAGACTTTCTTTTAAAGAGACTTCGATGGGCCATCGTCACGCTAATACAGGGTCGGGTGAAGAGAAAATATAACATGAATGTTGACGCACTTAAATATACTTTTTCGTTAAGAGAACTTCTTATTACATCCTATGTATTTCTTAGACATCATGCGGATTTCCTATACCACCCCTAGTTTTTAGAGATATATCTTTGGACACACTCTTTTCACACTCAAGAAAGGTCATTCTAGATGACACCTCATGCATTTACTAAAGATTTATTTCAAAGATATATCTCCTGAACCATACCGTAGTTATATTTTTGAAACAAAACCATACACAAAAACAACCCAAGATGAACTTTCCAAAAATAAAATGAGCATTCATAACATAAAATTAGCATTACAATGATTATTTCAACAGAAAAATAAATACTACATTTCAATATTTCGGTGGACGCTTGCACATCTCCGAGATATCGTCGACCGATCTTCGTAGTGTCGCTTCTAATTTGAGTGAAACTTTCTCTTCGAAATCGAAAAATGTTTGTCATATCGCCATAACATCAGCTCGAGTCTTGAGCTCAAATTTGCTTAACACAATGTTCCATTCGTTGTCAACCGAGGGTGAACGATACTCAAGCTTGACAACCCTTCGCGTGTCTTCGTAAGGTAGGAGATAGTGGATTTCGTCTATGATATTGTCGAGGGAGGTGAGATCGGTGAGCTTGAACGTCCTCCCAGGTGTAGAGGCTCCAGAGTAGAAGACACTTGAGACATACCAGCAGATGTTTATTTCACACATTTGAGACATTTTGAGTTTGTGTGAAGTATAACACAAGAACACTCAAATTTATTGAAGACCTAGTTCAATAAGGACCACTCATTGACTGTCATTCATACTTCGGATATGTATCTCTGGACGCACCCCATTATCTTATTTTGGAGATGCATCACCAGAGCTTTCCCTGAACCATTCAAAAATAAAGCAAATAAAAGAACCTTTCGAGATGTGTTAGTTCTTGATTGGCAGGAATTTTGATAAAACTTGGTGATATCACAAGATGTCCTACAGGATGTCTTGACATATGTTCTTAACATTCTGCAGGTAGCTATGCTTGGTGTTGCAGGGTTTAGGTCATGATGTCAAGCATGATGTCCTGACATTTGTGAACAGAACATTCTGTGAGAATGTGTTTGACAGTCTGTTACTTTTTGTGCAACTCTTTGCGCTGTTATAATCTGTCTTTTATGGTTCAAATCTGCGTGGAAATAGTCTTTATTCAAAAGTGTTTTTTATGCATATTTCGTGGAGTATTTATGGAATCGTGTGATCTATTTTCTGAAGGAAATCTTGAAGATCTGAAGAGTGATTTGATTGAAGCTGACTGGATCAAATCAAATCTGTTTTGATTTTACTCATTGATGCTAATTAATTAAATTGATTATATCAAGATCAGATGCTGTTTTTACCAAAGCCCAAGCCCGTCCAAGAGTTACTATTTAAAGGAT